CGTATATATATATATATATATATATAAATTAGGTTGAAAAAAAGAAAACATTTGAAGAGATTCATTTTTACATAAAACATGATCATCTGAATTTCACATGTGCAGTATTTAAACTGTTAAAAATATAAGTAATGTTAATTTATACTAATGTGGACAAGTAATATTAATATTTCAATAAAAAAATACCCCATGCTGAAGCAATTATATCAATAATAACAAAAAGATGCATGTTTAATACTTATGATAAGGTGTTTCTTAAAAGTTTCTTAAGGAGATAAAAAAAGACAATGAGATTATCCCAGTTAAACATATGAAAGTGAATGTGTATATCATGAAGATACAACTTGTGTAAATTTCATGTTTTTTTCAATAAAGTCTTTAAAACCAGTGTTATAAAAAAAAAATTGCATAATCCACTGTAAGCGAAAAATGAAGTGTTACCAGGATGGCCCTTTGGTCGCCCTCTAGCTCCAGGTATAGTTCCCTTCTTCTGTAACTTCTGGACTTCATTGTTTTTTCCATTTCCAAGCAGTTGACGAAGTTCATGATCAGCCTGCTGTTCCTTTGTTTTAAACTTTTCCATCTAAAAAGTAATTGATACTTTTTTTTTCAGAAATTTACATATGTATATAATTATACTGCAGAAAATAAGCTTTGTTTATATTCTAGAATGTAGTGAAAGGAATTACTACAAGTATTTTTATAAAAATATTATCAAAGCTCACGTCAGTAGCATTATAAAACTATATACTAATTATGAAAGATTTTAAAAATAATTCGTTTTCATGAATGAGTTGATCTTAAATTGTAAAAGACAATACATGTGCCAGTTTTCTTGATAACTAAACTTGACACATTATAAAAAACAGGGTAGATTTGTAACGTTTGATAACTATCCACACAAATCGAGTATATGAATCATCACTAAAACATGAGGTAAAGCTGTAATGTGGGGGTTTTTTCTTATATTTTATCATAAACACAAAAGTACTGTTATGATCCCATATACCATACTGTATAATACAGTAGAAACAAAAGATAACAACTCTGTAAAATTTGTATTTTTAGAAATTATAAAAAACCATGGCCAGGTGGTTAGGGCGCTCGACTCGTAATCTGAGGGTCTCGGGTTCGAATCACCATCCCACCAAACATGCTTGCCCTTTCAGCTGTGGGGGCATTATAATGTGATGGTCAATCCCACTATTCGTTGGTAAAAGAGTAGCCCAAGAGTTGGCGGTGGGTAGTGATGACTAGCTGCCTTCCCTCTAGTCTTACACTGCTAAATTATGGATGGCTGGCGCAGATAGCCCTCGTGTAGCTTTGTGTGAAATTCAAAACAAACAAACAAACGTTTTTTATCACATTATATATATTATGCACGCACTGTGTAATGGTTAACTGGCATTTATATGAAAGGTCTCAAGTTTCCGTGAGACAAAGAGAGGTTGTTTAAAAGTTTTAGTGTTTGGGTGGCTATTTGAGACAGATAATTCTGTATTGACTCGGGAAAAGTTTGTGAACCTAGATATTAATTGTAGGTTTTTGTTATAAGCTAACATTAGCTTATTTGCTTCGATTCTAAAGAGTTTCAAAGTTTAAGAATTAGTCTTAACTTTTGTAAGCCTTGTTGCTTTTGAGAACTTTTGAAAATATCGATAAGTTTTGGTGCAGTGGACATTTCAACAGTGAAAACTTTTGTAACCATACATCTAGTTGTGAATTTGAACTTTGAATTTACAACCTGAAGCTGAATTTCGACGTACTATGTGTTTGAAGAGATTGTGTCTGAATTGGAGAGACATTTCCTATGGGGACCTACCAAGAAAGAGTGATTTTTTTTTTTGTATTGTATTTTTCACAAATTATTGTGTATAAGTTAATATTTGATGTTTGTGTTTCGGGCCAAAATGTTACTTAAGTGCATGTCATTAATCAGGTGATAAGCCCACAATGCCTCACAACAAAACTCCACTAAAATATTACAAAAATAAGGCATCGTAACAGTACTTAAAAACCTTGAAGATCACTCTATTCACCTTTCCATTTTTTTTTCTCCCTAAAATTACAATTAATTCATACACAATTTTGTAAGTCAAGCACTTCTTGCTGTTCAACTAAAATACATACACAGTAAGACACGTGATCACAACTGCATGAATTTTGTGTCTATTAAGTTGTCCTTTGATTCATACACTCTGAAATTTCATTTTATTAGAGCAATGAAATCAATATACTTTTTCTTTAAGTGATATGTGCAGTATAAATATCTGTACAGTACAAAGACTCAGAGCCCAAAAGTAAAAATGATCTGCAAAATAGCAAACAGTACCAGCCTGACAGACATGAATTAAACTAACCTATTTCAAATACCAAGATATACAAGCATGTTTACCACGTTACAATGAACCAATCACATATACATGTTATATTGTTTTTTTATGTTTCCCTGAACAATTTAAATGTATACAGGTTTATCTTACAGTTATAAAAGGCTTATCTTTGATTTTTACTAACTACAAAGGAAAACCAATTACACAGACACAATAAAACATGTCTAGTAATTAGAAAAACACACACACATGCACACTGTATATAGAACAAACAAATATAGTAATACTAACATCCGTGATCATCTTGCCTCGAGTCTTGTTTCTCTCTCTGTGATTGACCTTTTTTTCAATCTGCTGTAAGACTCTTTCTCTTGTTGTTCTGTACTCTAAAGCAAATTCACTGATAGTTTTACAGAAATTCTGGACTTTAGTATCCTGTATGACATGTGTAGGGCACCCCAGATATACCATCAAGCGATGAAACCTGAAATATCCAGATCACTGTTCACTATTTGTACCTATGCACTTTTTACTCAATGAAAATAAATAAAACATGGTAGTTACGTCTCTAGTGTGAGTTACTTTAGTTTTCTACACACTAAAAACTGTATAGTAAAAGAACTCTGAAGCATTATATTTCTGATATAACATCTTATTTTCAGAGATTGAAAAGATTACCTAATGTTATTACAGCCGTAACTATAAACACTCTTGAAAATAAAAATGTCAACGAAATGATTACCTATTCATAACTCTTCTCTGAATAGTACCAAGAACTGTAATTCTCTCTGCACAGTCCCTCAGAAACTCTGACATTCTGAGAACAAAAATAAAGTATTTACATGATATAGTAGCTGAAATATGCATTACACTGTCTAGGAATATAAGAGAAAAAAAAGTAAAACACAATATTTTA